ACATGAAAAGAAGAAAAGGGAAACAAAGAATAAATGGGACAAATAGAAAACAGAGACAGACTTAAACCTAAGCATAATAATCACATTGATGTAAACGTGTGAACGCCCTAGTCAAAATGCAGAGATTGTCAGACTGGATTTTTTAAAAAGCAAGATCCAACTATATGCATACAAGAAGTGTACTTAAAATATAAAGACAAAATAAGTTAGAAGTAAAAGGATAGAAAAAGATATAACATATTGACAGAACCAAAAGAAAGCTGCAGTGACTATATTAAGACAAAGATTTCAGAGCAAAGAATATTATTAGAGATAAAGTCATTTCATAATGATAAAGGGGTCACTTCATCAAGAGGGTCTAACAGTCCTAAATCTTTGTGCTCCTAATAACAGAGCTTCAAATTACATAAAACAAAAACATGAAAGTGAAATAGACAAATCTACAGTTATACCTAGAGATTTCAATAATCCACTCAATAATTGGTGTAACAAGTAGATGGAAAATCAGTACAAATATAGAAGATTTGAACAAAACTGTCAACAACTAGACCTAATTTATAGAACACTCCACCTAACTATAGCATGGTAATTTTTCTCAGTGCATATGAAACACCAAGATAAACTATACTGAGCCAAAAGCAAGTCTTAATAAATTTAAAAGGATTCAAATGATACAACATATATTCTTTCTCCATAATGGAACTAAATTAGAAATCAATAACAGAAAGATTTCTGGAAAATCCCCCCAATAGAAAAACTAATACATTTCTAAATAGCCCATAGGTCAAAGAAGAAATTCAAAGGGAATTTAGAAGGTATTTTGAGCTGAATTAAAATGAATACACCACAGCATACTGAAATTTGAGGAATGCCTCTAAGGCAGTACTTAAAGGGACAATTATAGCACTAAACACTGTAAGAAACTAGGAAAAAATAGACCAAATTAAACCAAAGTAAGCAGATGAAAAATAACAAAGATCAGAGTAGAAATAAATGAAATAGAATACAAAATGGTAAAGTACAACCTGTAGGCTGGCTCCCTCTTTTTGTAAATGAGGTTTTATACAAATACAGGTGTGCCTGTTCATTTATGTATTGTCAGTGGCTGCTTTCTGTATACAACAGCAGCAGAGTGGTTCTGTCAGAGACCATATAGTCTGAAAACTTAAAATGTTTACTGTCTAGCCATTAAAAAAAAAAAAAGATTGCTAACCAGAAAAATAGTAAACAAAATTAGCAAAACACAAAGCTGGGTTTTTTTGAGATCAGTAAAATGGGTAAGCCTCTACCAGAGGGAAAAAGAGACAGAAGACCCAACTACCAATATCAGAAATGAGACAGCTGATATCAGTACAGATTCATCAAATATTAAAAGGATAATAAGGGAATATTATGAATAACTTTATGCCAAAAAATTCAACAACTTAGAATGAAACTAAGTCCTTGAAAGACACAAATTAACAAAGCTCACTAAAGAAGAAATAGTTGTATATATTAAAGAAATTGAATTTGCTATTTAGAACCTTCCCACAAAGAAAACTCCAGGCCTAGGTGACTTCAGTGTTGAATCCTATGAAATATTTAAAGAGGAAGTAATAGCAACTCTACACAAACTCTTCCAAAAAATTGAAAAGGAGGAAATACCTACCAACTTATTCTGTGAGACTAGTATCATCACCCTTATATCAAAATCAGACAAAGATATAAGGAAAAAAAAACTATAGACCCAAAACCCTTATGAATATAGATGAAAAATTATCACTAAAATTTTAGCAAATTGAATCCAACCCCCCCCCTCCCAAAAGATAAGTGCGATTTATTCCAGGAATGCAAGATCAATTTAACAATTGAAAATCTATCAATGTAATTCTTCATATTAACAAACTAAAAAAAATCATGTGATCATCTCAGTAGATACAGAAAAGCATTTGACAAATCCAACATCCATTCCTGATAAAAACTCTCAACAAATTTGGAATAGAAGAGAATTTCCTGAGCCTGAGAAAGGACCTCTACAAAACATCTATAGCAGATGTACGTAATTGTGAAAAACTGAATATTTTGCCACAAGTTCAGGAATAAGACAAGGATGTTTGCTCTCACCACTTTATTCAACATTGTATTTGAGGCTCTAGTCAGTGCTATTAGACAAGGAAAAGAAATAAAAGGCACCCAGATTGAAAAAAAAGAAATAAAACTCTATTTTCAAGTGGTATTATCACCTGTGTAGGTGCACTGGCAAGTCCACAGAGAAGGACAGTCCAGTCAAAAATGGTGCTGGAACAACTGGACATCGGTATGCAAAAGAATGAACTTCAATCTGTACTTTGCACTATATACAAAATTAACTTGTAGATCTAAATGTAAATCCTAAAACTATGAAACTTATAGGAAAATCTGAGAGAAACTCTTATGACCTTGGGTTAAGGAAATATTTCTTAGCTACAACACCAGAAGTCTGCTCAATAAAAGAAAACAAATTGATAAATTGGGCTTCATCTAAATTAAGAATTTCTGCTGTTGGAAATACACTGTTAAGAGAATGAAAAGAAAAGGACAGACTTGGAGAAATACTTGCAGGGCATATATCTCATAAAGGACTTGTATCCAGAATATGTAAAGAACTCTCAAAATTCAGTAATAAGAAAATGAACAACCCATCTCAAAAATGAACAAATGATTTCAATAACTATTTCACAAAAAAAGATACAGGGATGGCAATTACATAAAAAGATGTCTGAAATCATTAGTCATTTGGGAAATGCAAATTTAAACACAATACTCCACCCTGACACACCCACTGGAATGGCTGAAAGTGAAAAGACTGACCACGCCAGGTGTTGGGGAGAAAGTGGAGGAACTGGAACTCTCACACACTGCTCGTGGGCATTTAAAATGGTATAATTACTTTGGAAAACAAGGTGTGGCAGTTTCTTAAAAAGTTATGCATATATAAAAATACACATACATGAAAAATAAATAAAAAGTTAAACATCAGAAGGGCAGGACTTGAGGCAGGGACACAGCTGGACATGAGAGCATCTGCCAATCTCTGGGCAGGATGGGCAGTTTTGTAGGAAACTTGAAGATAGCATCTGTGACTCAGGTGGCCCTCTTAAGGAAAAAGAATTAAAAAGTGAAGTCAAGATTAGGTACAAAAGTGAATATTTATTTAGGACAAACAAGTAACCACAATAAATTCTTGGATCCATGGATCTCCAGGTCCCTTTCTTGTGAGTCATCTTGGGACACCTTTCCAGAAAAGCTAGTGGTGTCCGGCTTATCCTCCCTACCTGGAACAGTCGCCATCCCAGCATTCACAGCTGGGATGTGGGGCCCTTAGGATGCAGAGCCACTGTACCCACCTCAGCCGCAGTGCCCATGTCCCCATGAATGACCACAGTAGCTGACCACGCTGTGGGTGCAGTCTTTGCTTTCCGGAGGTGAACTCTGCTCTCCAGCTTCAAGCACTGCAGTGTCCGCCTCAGGCTCCTTTCCACTCCACATCTGCAGCTCCACACCTGGTGCCTGCGTGGCCCAAAGGAGGAGGGCCTATGTGTGTGGTGAGGGGCTTGACAAGGCATCCTAGGGCCCTGGCAGTCTTGTGTCCTTGCCCACCACCTTTTTGAGCTTTGGGTCCCCTGTGCCTCTCCAGACTGTTTTCTCCCAACCCAGGCCTGCTCATGCCATGCCTTCAGTGAGGACACACCCCTCCTGTGGTCCAGCCATCAGAGAGGCCTCCTCCACTTCTCCAGTCCTCAGTGGCCTTGCTGACCACTATCAGACCAACTCCAGCAGGCCACCTCATTCATGGTGGGTGAGGGAAGCATGGGTTGGGGCAGAGCGTAGAGCTGGGGCCTGAGTCCCTAGCGCTCTACCATGTATTAGCTGTGTGAATTCAGGCAAGATTCTGAATCACTCTGTGCCTCTGTTTCCTTGCAGATAGTAACAGTACCTCCCTCCCAGCGTCTTTGTGAAAATCAAAGAATCCTAAGAGGGCAGGTGTGACTGTCAACTGTGTTCACTTAAGTGTCTGTAGCTTCTAGGAGAGTCCCAGGCAGGTGCCAAGTGCACATGCTCCTGTCTGTCTCCGTTCCAGGGTCTCTCAGTTTCCCCTAACTGATTTCCTACCCCCTTGGGGACACAGGTCCCAGGGACTCACACCCCACATGCAGACCATCCTGGTTAGGGTCTGAGGCTCTGGGACCATAGTCAAGTGTACATAGGTGAGTTACAGACTGGGGTTTCATAAAAACAAGAGCTTTTTTGAAAATCCCTTTAATTGCCCATGAAGTTCCATATAAATAGTTTTATGTACATCCCAAAGATTAATGCATTTATACATGAAAATGTGAGAACCACTGGAGCTACTTTAGGGACAAATCAGTTCATAAACAGCCATCTGAGCTTTCCCATCCTTATGCCTTTAGGTAATGATCCAATGTCTAGCTGTGAGTGGGGATAGGTAGGAGGTTTTTCTCCATCTGGGTTTAATAGGAAGCCTGTAATGTGAATACTTCTGGAGAATCCAGTCTCATCTTCAGGCTGGACCAGGCAGTAATGTCAAAGCCTAGTTAAAAGCACATAGTGACTCTGAACTGCATTTGGGATGTGTAAAGTTGATTTAAAACAAAATACACAGCGAGCCTACTCTGGGTACAGAACTTCTCTGAGCAGGCCTCAAATATGCATGCTTTTTTTCTAATAGCGCCCAAGGGTGCTTTTAATGATGTGTGTTTTGATAAGGGAAAATAACAAAGACTAAGAAAGGAAAGAGAAAGCCCAAAGGGCTGCAAAGACCAACTGGTGAGGTGAGAAGGCTGTGCAGCAAACTAGAACCAAAAGCAGGGCTGCTGCTGAAAGATTTTGGAGAGCCAGCCTCAACCCACCCCATGAAGGAAGATGCTAAACCAGCCTTTGGAGCGGGGGCTGGGATGGGAGCATCCTGGTGCATCCCCACAGGGATCCCTGCAGTAAGCCTGTGTCTCCCTGTCTTGCAGGTGGTGCCAGGGAGCAGGAGAAGGTGTCGGCCAACCCTGAGGCGCTCCTGCTCATGGCCAGCTCCCAGCGTGACATGGAGGACTGGGTGCAGGCCATCCGCCGGGTCATCTGGGCCCCACTGGGCGGAGGTACTGCCCGTAGCTCGCATGCTTGCCCTCTCGAACCCTTTCCTCCAGGTAATCGTGCCCCTCCCCTTGCACTGAACCTGTAAAATCTGGTGCCTGACTCAGGACTTGCTGGTGGTCTACCCCTGCTTCCTAAGGCACGCAGGCAATGTTGTCCTGTTTCGCTGCTGACCCTCAAAAGTCACCCCTCCAGTGTACCAAGCAGGCCCTGTTAGGGGAAATCAGGACCACTTTTCAAAGACGTGCCCTATTCCTACCAGGGAGTCCTGTGGTTCACTTGCCTCTCTGCGTCCAGACCCCTGCTGGACACTAGGTGTGTGTGAGGCAATCTGTATACAGACTAGAAGCAGGTGCTCACAGGGTCATATCAGATGCCTAGGCACTGTGTCCTTCCCTCGGCCACATTGCTGCAGCCATATGGGGCTCCTGCCTCCCCACAAAGCACACTCCCTGTCCTCCTCTGAAAGCAACGGTGGTCATTTACTCACTTGCTCCTTTATTCAAAATACTTACTGAGCCCCTGAAATATACCAGGGTGAATTCCAGGTGCTAGGAATTCAGTGGTACAAATAGTGGATTCTGCTACTCCCTGGTCCTGTGGGAGAGAGGTGATAGACCAGTAAATGTGTCACAGGAAGTCCAGTAGTGAGAAATGCAGCAAGCAAAGTAAAGCCAAATGGGAGGACAGAGCAGATGTTGTGTTAGGTGCTGCAGCCCGGTCAGCTCAGCAATGTCACCAGGAGTCTTGATGCTGGGGGAGAAGCACTCATGAATGGGAGCAGCAAGGGCAAAGGCCTTAGGGAGGGAGTGCGCGGTGGGCACACGGGGCATCTCAGGAAGGCCAGTGGGTCTGAGGGAGTGAGGATAGGAGTGTGGGGGACCTGAGGCAGGAGGAGTACCAAGGCCTTGCAGATGTAGTGGGGATTTCATATTTTGTTCTAAATTGGTTGGGCACCAGGGAGGGCTCTGAGCAGGAGACAGACACACCTGACTTAGACATACAAAAAGAGTCCACTGGCTGCCATGAGAGAGATGATCCACAGATAGGCAAGAGTGGATGCAGCAGGCTGGGAGCCATGAGGGTGATGGATGGGCCAGTGCTGGCGTGAGAATGAAGGGGACAGCATGAGTGGCCAGCAGCAGGTGTGCTATGGAGGAGGGGCTGCTACCGTTTGCCATGGTCTAGACACGGAATGCAAGAGACAAAAAGGATGACTCCTAGCTGTGCAGTTGCTGTCTCTACAGATTGGTGTCATTGTGAAAAGAGCTTTTAGAAGGGATCACCACACGGGCTGGGCTGGGGCCACCAACTCCCTGCTTAATATGGACACTGGGACCCTGTAGGCTGGCCAGGTTGAGACCACAGGAGCCATGGACATCCCTCTCTCCCCACGCAGTATTTGATTGGTGCACAGTCCAGGAGGGGCAGAAGCCTACCTTTGGGACACGGGGCCCTCTCCAGATCCTGCATGCCCTGTAGGCTGAGCACCTTCCCTTACCTTCACATTGCCACCTCCCCTCTCCCATTCTGCCTGACCACCTATCATAGAACTGTCAATCCCTCATGGAGAAGAGTTGATATAACTTTGAAAGTCAAGTTTTTCTCCTGGGCTTCATAAATGGCCTCACACTGTTAGCCATGGCCTCTTTGCCCCTGATGATTGCAGCCATTTTGATCCATAGTACCAATTTTATGACCTGGGAAGACCCAAGTCCATCCATGGATTTCTACAGCCCCCCTGGCTTCCTTTGGTGGAAGGTGGCTGAAGTGAACTTGTAGAACAGACTAGAGCCCAAAGCTGACTCCTATGTAGCTGGACTTGGATTTATGACAGGTGGCACTTTTGAACACTGGAAAAACGAGAACTTAGACATGATCTTGGGATAGAGAAAGACTTCTTAAGTGAGTTACAAAAAGATTGGTTAAGTTGTACTCCATAAATGATGTGCATTTGTGCTTTAAAAGGTAGATTGAGAAAATGAAAAGTTGAACTTCAGGTTGAGAGAAGGTATTTGCAATACCTACAACCATCAAACAACTTATTCCTCAAACTTCTACATATCAGTAAGGAAAAGACAGACAAGCCAGGAGAAATGGGGCAGGAGACTTGAACAGGTACTTTGCAGAAGAAGATATCCTTGTAACCAATGAACATTAGCAACAGTTGTCCACCTCACTAGTAGTCAGGGAAATGCACACTAAACCACAACTCAATACTTGCATGCACCCACAGCAATGACCAAATGAAAAAGATGGATGGTTCCAAGTGGCAGTGAGGATAGAGAGCTACAGGCGCTTGCATATATTACTAGGGAAATTGTTTGGCAGCATGTGCAATAGTTGATGCTATGCAAACCTATGTCCCAGGAATTCCACTGCTGGGCCTGTCCAAAAAAGAACTGTGTGCACAGGTAGGCCAGTAGACCTGTGCACATCAGGTGCTCACAGCAGCCTTATTTATGGTGGCCTGATGCTAAGCAAGTTGAGCAACAATATAATCAATGAATAAATAGTTCATTCTTGCAATGGAAAACTCTACATCATTGAGAAGGAATCACCACAGCTCCACCCAATGATAAGCATAGACCCTAAAAACATACTGTGGGATAAGGGAAGTCCAGGAACATACTACAGGATTCCATTTATATAAGATTGAACAACAGGGCAAATGTAAGCTCTATTACTTATGGGTAGATCATCAGGCAGCAAAAATATAAAGAAAAGCAAAGAAATGAATGCCATAAAAGGATTGTAGTTATACTTACATAGGTGTTCATTTTATAAAAATGTGTTAATTTGTACATATGTGCTTTAAGTATGCTTTTCTGGATATGTGCATATTTCACTATACAAGATAAAAAAATATACCAAAGAAAGAAGAGAAACTAAAGGTCAAAGAGGCAACATAATTAGCCCAAGATAACATAGCTAGTCAGGGAGCCAAGGTAAGAAGCAAAGGAGGGCCTTCTGACCCCCAAGGCCATACTTTGTCCTAGACCATGCAGGGCACTGTCACACAGTCTACCTGCACTCAGTGTGCTGGCTCCCTGGCTTGCATGTCTCTCTCTCTCTATTTCTGTCTCTCTCTGTTTCTCTCTGCTTGCTCAGAATGGGGACCGTTTGCAAAATCCCACATAGAGCTCTGATTTGCCTCTCCCCCAGGCTCCCAGCATTCATCAGATTTTTCAGGCTATGTGCTGTATGTTGAGGAACTTGCAGGAATTAAAACAGGAACCACCATTAAAGGTGCTTATCTCCTTTCTACCAGAAGTATAGGGGAAACTCAGAAATCCCAGGGTTTAGCAATGGCAGACATGTCCGGGCAAGCATGGGCACTCGCACGTGGGCTCAGTCCGCCTCTGCAGGTTTCCTGGCACAGCTGTTACTAGCCCGGGTTCCCCTGGGAAGGAGGCTTAGAGGATCAGATCTTTCACTGTTTAATAACAGAGTCCATGTACCCTTCCAAGCATGTTTGTTCTGGCAGAGCGTGGGCCACCTCTGGCAGACAGAAATGGACAGTGTGCCTGCTACAGTCAGGGCAGAGCCTGGCCGTTCTCACAGAGGAAATGGGGCGGGCCATTTACTCCTGCTGACCTGCCCAGGCATAGCCCTGACTGGAGTACCTCTTGTTTGGGTATTCATTCATTCATTCATGTGGCCCATCAGTCATTCACTTAAGAATGTGTTCTAGGGGCTGTGGTGCAGCCCTGAGCAGAATAGACAAGGTCTCTGCCTCCCGGAGTACACATTCCAATAGAGAAGACAGACAGGTTGAGTAAGCCCGCTGTAGGTTACTTGGTGCTGAGCTCAGTGGAGAAAGAAGAGGGAGAAGACAAACAGGAATGATGGGTGGTCAGAGTTCAGTGACATTTGAATAAAGGAGATAAAAGAGTGAATTACACATATTTCTGGGTAGAGAGCTTGGAGGCAGAGGCAGGAGTGTCTGTTCTGGCAGAGCAGCAAGGAGGCCAGTGTGGCTGGAATGGAGTGTGTAGAGGTAGCAGGCAGGAAACAGGTCAGAGAGGTATTGAGGTGGTAAATTAGTAGGGCCTTGTCCTCATGACTGTGGCTTTTTCTCCGGGTGAGGTGGGGGCATGGGCAGGTTTTGAACAGAATAGTGACAGAGCCTGACTCAGGTTCCAACAGGATCTCTCTGGCTGCTGTGTTGTGTTGAGAATGGATGAAAAAAGGCAAGGGCAGGAACAGGAAGACCAATTGGGAGGTTTTTACACTATAATGCAAGTGAGAGGTGGTTGTCAGCTTGACCCAGGATGGTATTGGTGATGAAAAGGAATTGAATTCTTGATATATTTTGAAGTTAAGGCCAGTAGTAGTCCCTGCTGGAATGGAAGCAAGGTATAAGAGAATGAGAGAAATCAAGGATAACTCCAAGATGTTTGGATCTAAGCAGCTGTAAGGATGGATTAGCCATTAATTGAGATGAAAAGGACAATAGGAAGTGCAGTTGTTTGGAAGGAAGATTGAGTGTTCCCTTTGGGGTTCAGTTTGAGATATCTATTAGAGGCTCAAGTTTAGATGTCAAGCAAATAGTGAGATATTTAAGGAGAGATATTTAGGAGAGAGGACCAGGTTGGAGAGAGAATACGGGGGCCATTGACCCACAGATGGGGTTTGAAGCCATGAGTCTGGATGAGACCCCACAGAGCAAGTGTAGGGACAGCAGCTGCTCCGAGGTAAGAAGTCAGGGAGTAGAGGAGGAGCCAGTGGGGGGTGGGGGGTGGCAGAGAAGGAGATCCAGTGAGGGAGGGCCAGATGCAAGGGGGGGGTCCCTGAGTCAAATGAAGAAGTGTCTAAGGTAAGGAAAGAGCAGCAATCCCTGTGACAATCACTGCCGGTAGATCAACCAGAGGTAAATGGGTGCTGAGCACTTTTCATTTGTGACTTGAACAAGGGTGATTTTGGTGGAGTGCTAGAGATAAAGCCTGATAATAGTGGGCATGAGAAAATAGAAGAGAGGAATTGGAGTGTGAGCATAGCGAGT